CCTCGTATAGCAAGAGTATAATGGGGGTGCTCCCCCCCCCCCCCAACCTCCTCTCCTCTTTTTTTTTTTTTGAAATTATACATCTTTTTACTTTCCAAAATACCTCTTAACTTCAATTAATATGTTATACATATTTTCTGGTTAAATAGGGATGCGAACAAGCCGTCTTCCTACATAAAGAAGTACCTTGCACATAAATTGAGTCTCCAGAGCGAAGACGAGGTAATGAAATACGTGTATTGTCATTCAAAATCTGCTCTAGTACCTTCTGCATTACACTTGATTATTATTTCTGAATTTCTGATCCTAATAATTTGAAATGTAGGTGGAGCTTCGCATGTTAGGAATGCCGATTCGTCCTGATTTGCCTATCAAAGATCTAGAAAAATTGTGGTTACGTGTAGCACCTCACTCTGGAAAAAGCTCAGTAAAAGTTGGATCTTCTGCCGAAGAACTTGTCATGGTCTTGAAATATTCTCGATCACACCCAAAATTGAATTAGTGTGTTAAGAATGTACAATATTTTAGCTTCTCCTTCCCTTAAACATTCAAATTTCTCAAGGAGAAAACTTCTTGTTGCATGTTGTTAAACACCTTTAATTATATTTGTGTGTGTTTTTTTATAAACTCGATCAGACGTTTTTGAGTTACTTATTTTGCACTCTAGCTATCAGTTGTTTATTATGAATTGTGTGGGTTTTTTTTTTTTTCATTTTATCTTAAGAATTGTTAGGTTGCATTTCTTTTTTAGATATTGACCGTCAGAGCCAGGGACGAATCTACATCGGACGAATTTACATGGGACGAATCGTCATGTATTGAAATCAGTGGCATAGCTACATAGATCGACCCAAGGATGGTCATATGAACACTCATTATCAATAACTTATTTTATGCATATATAAATAATACTGACATCAAAGTTAACAGGTTGAAATGCTAAGTTGGTTCGGACACCAATAAGAGAGGGCTTTATCCACATGTATGATCATGCTTGGTGTTCATCTTTTGCTGGGGATTGATTCTTGAGACAAAATTGTTCAACATATTGTTTTTTCACGTTACTATCAAACTTCATGAATTTTATTTCCCCATTGATTATTTCAATATATGTCTTGATCGTGAGATCAGTTATTTTCTCGCCAAATTTATATCACCTCGATTTCGATTCTAAAATTCTTTTCCTTTCCCTTGAAACCTGCTCATATGAACACATTCTAGTTAAATTTGAGAAAACTTGGTTCTGAGAAGAATTCTTTGATAAACTTCTATAACATGAATCTGAATTTCCAAATATCATTTTTCACTTTAAAAACAAAAAATTATACTTTTTTTGATCTTCACAATGAAACATGGCCAAACGTCTTAGTTTATGAGCTATGGATCACATTTTTTCTTGGCTATTGTGTTCTGAATATATTACTTATATAGAGTTTGGAGAAAAATTACTTTTTTTCTGCCAAACTAGTAAGTTAAGGGATGGCTCCGCCCTTGTATCTATACGGTAGGGATGTCAATTGGACGGGTTGGGTCATATTTGAGTGGGTCAAATGGGTCAAGATCCAACCCAACCCAAATTTGTTTGGGTCAAAACAGATCAAGTAATGGGTCATAACCCAATCCGTCCAATTTTTATTAAGTTTTAATTGTTTTTTAAAAAGATTTTAGTACCTAATAAAAACAAATTATTTATTATGGCTATATATAACATATTAAATTGGTCGAATGACCTTTGAGACCCTTGTACTTGGCTCCGTTTGTCGGTTGAACCATCCTACTCATCACTTTGCCAACTAAACCCTTAAACCTATCAGAACACAACATTTTAAGACTTTCTCTCCCACCTCAACTGAGTAGGAGGGTTCAATTTGGACTACATATCTACTCAATTTTTAATGGATTGAAATGAGCTGACCCCAACAGATTGAGTTTTATTTTGTCATCCTTAATAATCTATAGAAATGAAAAAGGAAATTGTACTAACCAGTTGAGTAAATCCAAGTGAAGCTCTAAATCAGTGATGTATGTGAGATTATGCATTTCCTTTAAGGAAGGGGATATGCTATGATCCAAAATTATCTCTTCACCAACATGCCAATAACTCCAAAAAAAATCTCCAAGTTTTTGAATCAGTCTTGTTTGAACCTCGAAATCATGTTTGTTTACTACTCTCAAAACTTTCACTCCTAATCTTTCAAGCCTTTGTTTGAATCTAACATTCCCAACTCTTGGCCCTGAGTATGAAAATACACAAAGGGGAATAACACGTCCATCTTCGCGTAAATCCAAATCATATGCATTGTGACGTGCTTGTAAGTTGTAACATATCTCCATAACGTATTAGCTCTGCTTGTAACAGGGGATCAATAGGATCATCAATCATTTCGACCATGAATATCTTCCATTTGTATGCTAATTGTGTTTCATCGTCATGGAATTTGTTTTCTTTTCTTCGTAGCTTTGAAATTGGATATATGGAGTTTTTAGTAGTATTTTCTCTGTTTCTTTGGCCAGGGAAAAAGAATTTAGTACTCTATGGAATGGTTTTGTTTATTTGAGGAGAGAATTATTCTGGAATAAGAAATGATCATTGTATTAGAGATTGGGATAAGAAGAATTGCACTTTGGTGTGTTGGAAAAATAATGTGCGTGTTGATCTGCTGAATTTGTAGCTTTATATAGAGTCTCTTACTCCAAAGGTCACGGTTCGAAATTCAATGGATAATGGATCTAATACTCTACTTTACTCTACTTGAATACTATCACATTGGAACTTGTGACATCTATCTAACCTACGCATGATAAAGTTATGCTTTAACAACTAGAATATGATGATTAATAGACCTGCCCCTCTACGTTTCTCTACTTTAATACTCTTTGATAGTGTTAGGACCTGTGACGTGCATCTAATCTATGCATAACAACCAGAATATGATGATTATATATTTTTGTTTACTAGGGAAATGATTTAGCTACTTTTGAAATTATTAGGATGCTAGTTGGCATTAAAGTAACATTAATCAATTGAGCACATTAGTGTTTCTAAATGAATAATTTTTTAAAAAGGACCTACTTTTATATATTAGCAGCCGATAATGTTGAAAGTGGTTAGAGATTCAATTTTGAAAATATTACATTGGAATCAAGAAGATTTAGGTTTGCTGTGATTTAATTAATAAGTAGTACATTGGAATAAAGAATGACTCTTTTTTAGCAACTCTTTAATTTCAGATTTTTATATGACATGTTTAAAATTATAAGATTAAAAATTTTAATCTAAGACATTCAAGTCTTTCATAGTGTCTTAAATTCCGTATCAAGTTAAAAACAAATAAATAAATTAAAACGGAAGAAGTAACTGACTTAGACAACAATTTTTTTTGTTGTTTTATTCACTGTTATGATTTTCTAGAATCTTTTTCCTTTTCCATGAAACCTGCTGCTCACATATAATGAACATTTAGTTACAAAACTTGCGCGTCTAGGCCCAAAGTGGAAAATAACTTAAAGATGGTATCAAAGAAGGAATCTCCCTTAGTACAATGGCAGGACAAACCTCGGCGAGGATGCTCAATTAATCCCTATGGGGTGTATGTGATGCCCTTGACAAAAGGCAAGCCTCTGAATAAAGGGTACAAATTTCACCTTAGGCGAATCCACGTCAAAATATGTGAGATTATGTATATTGAGCAATGTTATAAGTATTTATAATAGCTAAAGTACCCAAGCTATGTCCTGTTATTGTTATGCTTATTTCCTTATCGAATGCATCGTAACATGCTTATAACATATCACCATAACGTATTGGCTCTGCTCGTAACAGGGGATCGATAGGATCAAGCATCCCTTTCCAAACATTTCGACAATAATATAATTGTTGCTAAATATTAAGCTGTAATAATAAATATGAGTATTTATAATTGACATTGTTTAAATGCCGCGAAAATCTTTAGTGACTCTAGATGCAATGATATTAACTCAATTGTCCGCTAAATTTCTCTTTTGTTGTATGGTAGAAAAAAAATTAGGTTGATGTTTGGCTTTCCAAAGTTTTAAAAAAAAATAGTCTTTGTAAGCTATTATGAACTACAATTAGAAGCAACCATTAGTTATATATTATTATTATTGCACTTAATGGTTGTAATTGACAGCTATAAAAGTCTTCGATAGAATTTAGAGACTGCATATTATAAAAAGATCATATTAGAGAGTTATGAACATTAAATCTTTGGGTGAAGTTGACCGGGGCAGGTCAATGCCTTTAAAAATGAGGTGTTCCTTTTAGGCTCTCAAATTTGTGGGGCCCTAAATTTTTTTTTAGTAATAGTAGATTTCTCATAAGTCATTTTTAACAAAAGAAAATTTGTATTGTGTTATTCATTTTATTTGTCTTTTTTAGTTCGTTTTGAAACATTAAAGAATGTTTCTTTTATTTTTGTCAATTTTTAAATATAACTTCCACATAACATCTTTAAGATCACAAGATTAAAAAGTATATATATATTGTAGAATTCAATTATTCTATGTATGTTCACATTTGTTGTAGTTTCGATTGGTTACCTATGACAATTCATTAAGATCATATATGTTTAAATTTTGATATTCAAACAAAATGAAAAACAAACATCACTCTTAACAAAGTCAATATAAGTAAATTAGTTATGAGTGTTTTGTTTCAAATTATAAGGAATACTATTACCAACTTAGGTATATAACATGTGTGCTTAAAGTCATTTAAGATTTACAATAATAATAAAAATAGCATATCTAGTATAATTTTAGAAGTGCAATAAAATAATTACATTGATTGCACTACCTTTTTGCCTTTTTTGCATTGTGAGATATGTTGCATTAAGATACTCATTGAACTGATTCCCACAAGTTTTGAAAACATTACTCATTTTCTGTTTAAGAAAATGATTTTTGGAAGTAGCAAAATCCAAACTAAGGTATCACTTGAAGAAAAATGTACATCCAGAACTCACAATATAGAATTCAATTATTCAATGTATGTTCACATCCGTTGTAGTTTCAATTGGTTACATATAACAATTCATTAAGATTATATATGTTTAAATTTTGATATTCAAACAAAATGAAAAAACCATTACTCTTAACAAAGTCAATATAAGTATATTAGTAAGTATTTTTGTTTCAAATTATAAGGAATACTATCAACAAATTAGGTATATAATATGTGTGCTTAAAGTCATTTAAAATTTACAACAATAATAAAATAATAAATCTAGTATAATTTTACAAGTAGATCTGAGAAGAGTAGTGTCTAGTTTTACCTCTACCAAATAGTGGTCTCAATTTGTAATGATAAGTTTGAAGAAATTTCACGAGTAGCTTGTTTTGACACTGTCACATATACTTACTTTTTTATTTAAAAAATCATATATATCCACTTCAGATTTTTGGGTGTGTCTGAAGTTAGGTTGACAAAATCAAATTTCAGATAAAATGTCTGAAATTCCATGAGTGACATTCATGTATTTC